AAGGGCAAACAGCACCTGTACTGCCCCACGTGCAAGGTGACCGTCAACTCGCTGTCCCAGTTGGAGGCTCACAACACGGGTAAGGGCAGAGCCCGGGTGCGGGATCCGCGCAGAGCCACGCGGCCTTGCGAGTTAATGAATGTTGTTTTCATTAAAAAGATTGAATTAAGGTGGCTTGCAAACATAAGCGGCGGTGTTTTACCTACGCTGCGGCTTAAGAAGTGAATTCTAGCAAGATCAGAAGCTCCCTCATTGTTCGTGTAGCTTAATTAAAGACCTTTTCAGATAGATTTATTGAAGCGATTGGAGGCCGCTTTGTATTCTGTTGCAGTTCAGCCCTAACCTGACAGCAGTGGGAGTGCCAGGACCTGCCCGGGGCTGGGCGGCCTTTTGGGAGCCACGCGGGGAAGTGAATGAGCCCCACAGCGCGGCTCCCCCGACCGAGCCCCCAGAGCCCCCCCGCTCTCCCCAGCTCCGCAGTGCCGCAGTCTCTGCAGCGCCGGCTCCATCTGCACGCGATGCTCAGCCCGAGCAGCCCCGATCCTAACGGGGGGAGCCCCCCCGCCGCAGCGGGAGCTGGGAGCCAGCAGCCCCCGCCCCAGGGCTTAGCTGCAAACGTGTCCTTTGGCTTTTGTCAGCTCCGGTTACAAAGACGGGCGCTGATTTGAGGAGGAAGAACAAACAAACAAAATGTTCGCAGGCTGCTGCTCCGGCTGTCACGCAGCGCCGAGCTCAGGCTCTTTGCTTAACGCCTTAAGAAATAGAAGGAATTAGCGGGAGCTTGAATTACCTGCCCTCTCTGGGAAGGGGCGGACGCAGCGCGCCGCCCCCAGGTGTGCGGGATTTGGGGCTCGCCTTCCCTGCCCCCCGGGGCCGCACTGAGCAAATCCCGGCTCTGTGCCGGCACCGCTCTGAGCTCGGGCGCAGCGCAGGTGCTGTGCTAATGCTCGGGGATGGCGGCGGCTCCCGGACGCGCTGAAAACAGCCATTTCTCCAAAGGTCTGACGTGTGGAAGGAGTTGGGGGGAGGCATCTCTGGGAGCAGCTGGTTTGTGGTCTGGAGCTTGGCAGGGGCTGGGAATGGGCTGCTGCATCCCAGGATGGGTTGGGACAGGGTCTTGCTGCAGAGGGACGGAAGGTTTGGTGTTTGCTGAGCGCCTCTCCGTCCCCAGGTGCCAAGCACAAATCCATGCTGGAAGGACACAGCACCCAGCTGCGGCGCGGCCGGGGGAAACTGCTGGCCCGGGCAGGGCACAAAGCCAAGAGAATCGGCAACAAGGGCAGCATCAACATCCAGAACAAGGCGTTCCACTGCCAAGTGTGCGAGATCTACGTGAACTCCGAGACCCAACTCAAACAGGTAATGGCACTGAGCCTCAGCTGTGCACTTCCCCTGGGAAACGCAGAGCTTCGGGGTGCATCTGTCAGCACGACGCCCATGGGAGAGGAGCATCTCTTAAGTCCTGGGTTTTATGGGACTCATCCCTTTGAAATCCCTCCCTTAAGCCAAGGGGAATCTGCATGTGTTCGCCATAACCTTGTGGGTTTTCCCTGCTGTGTGGAAAATGCAGGATTGGTGGGGGTCAGAGGGCACCAGCTGTGCCCGTGGTGCCCATCGCTTGGCCCTCGTCCTCTTGCAGCACATGAGCAGCCGGCGGCACAAAGACAGGCTGGCCGGGAAGCCGCCCAAGCCCAAGTACAGCCCCTACAACAAGCTGCAGAAGAACGCTGCCCTCGCAGTGAGTATTCTCAAGGTATTTGTCTCCCAGCAAATCACCCACCCGCTGGCTGCCTGCAACATCCAACTGCATGACACATCTCCTGCTATAAGACACACTGTTGTTCTCAAAGCCTCTGTTCCTTGCACCCCACGGATCCCGTTGTGGGAGGACTGTGAGCTGAGAGGAGGCTCTGGTTTTCCTTCTTGTGACGGAAAGCACAGGGAGAGCTCAGCCCTCTGGCAGCAGCATTCTGAGCAGCTGCGGTATTTGGGGTCCTTCCACCTGGCTCACATTTGGCAGCTGATTGAGTGCCTGGGGTTGGCATAGTTCAGCTGAACCGAGCCCAAACATTTATCTGCAGAGACCTGGGGCTCCCTGCCTGGAGTGGCGGGGAGCTGGTAGAAATACCAGCCTAGGAGTCAGGGAGCAGCAGGCAGGGGGAGCCGGGGCAGAGTGCGGGGCCGGGGCCTCCCAGTGCTGGGGCTGCGCTCTGTGTTTGCTGCAGACACCACAGGGCTGCTGCAGGGGCTGCTCTGAGCTGTTGCAGCCATCATGAGGTCTCCTCTCCCTCCCGCAGTCCAAGCTGGCTCTGCAGAAGCACCTCACCAAGACACTGGCGACGCGCTTCCTGCCCAGCCCGCTCACCACGGCTGTGTGCGCCATGCCTGGGCCTCTCGCCCTGCGCCCGGCCGCTGCCACCACGCTCTTCCAAGCCCCGATCCTCGGACCAGCCCTATTCCGAACGCCTCCAGCCCACGTCCGCGCCACGCCGGGCCCCATCGTCTTTGCACCCTATTAGAGCCGCTCGCCGGGGTCCATCGGCCGTGCCATGGGGCTGCACGGGGCACCGACTGCTCTCCTGGCTGATGGGAAACCGTAGCAGTAGGCATCGACCCAGGCTTCCCCTTTGCTTCCAACTGGCTCCCGTTGGTGTGCGATGCTCTGCCGGAGCCCAGCCCCACCGTGCCCCCCCCTGCCGCTCCCCCCGCCCATGCTGGCCCCGCAGCGGTTGGGCCACGTGGGGTGAGGATGGTGCTGGAGCCACCAGGACATTGCTGTGCTTCTTGTCTGCCTCCAAGTTCCCAGATCGAGAGGAGAGGAGCTGGCTGGTCCCCCGGGGGTGGAGCAGCCCTGGTCCCTGCTGGTCTCATCTGTCCCACGCCAAAGAGCCATCGGCCATGGTGGTCACATCCTCACTCCGAGAGCAATAGGCAAAGCCTGGGACTCCCTCCTCTGCCCTCTGAAAGCACACAGCCTTTCTCCCAGGCATCCCCCGAGAAGCACAGAATTTGGGCACAGGCTCTGCTCCCATCTGGTTTGCGCTCCCTGAGGTGGGAAGGAGGGGACGCTGTGCTCTGAGCCCTGCACCTCAGTGCCACCCCTGGGGGGACAATCCCGCCCCTACCTCAGGGGAGATGCTGTGAGGCTTCGTGAATGTCCCCAAAGCACTTTTGGTTCTCCAGAGGAAGGCGCTGTCGTTGCTCACCATCCACCCCATCCCCATTAGGAGCTTCCAAGGAGTTTGTGACTCTGCCAAGCGAAGGCGTCCTGGCAGCCCAGACAATCAGGGAGGAAGGAGCAGGCACTGCCAGCCTCCCTCAGATGCTCTCTTTTCACTGTGCTCAGAAGGCCCAGCGAGGACCTGGTCTGAAAACTGTATCTGCAGCTCTCTGCGTTCCCAGTGCTGCTGTAAATAGAAACCTGCAGGAAAGTCACAACCCAAATGGACCTCATGCCGGAGTGACGACCCACCCCGATCTATGCAATCCCACGGGAGCAGCTGGCTCGTTGTTTGCTGTCTACATTTTTGGTGCTCAGTCTGTAGGGCTGGGGGTGTTGTTTGGAGCAGAAAGGACACAAAGCAACACTCAGCTCTGTGCAGGTGGTTCCTCTGCCGTGCTGTCCCCTCCCATCCCCAGGCCGGGTGCTGGCACAGAGACCTCTGCAGCATCCCGGCACGCGGCTGTGCTCTTGCCCAGCCCTTGGGATGAGGTGGTTTTGCACATCTGGGAATCCACACGCACAAGCGCACATATCTGACATCTTGGCCATAAGCAACATGTGGATTTCAGGAGGATTTTGCCCAGTGTGCACCACCAGTGCTCAGGATGAGGTCTTGGAGGTGTACGGGGACCTGCTGCCACCTTAATGCTTCTGTTCCCAGAGCTGGGAACCTCAGGTGACAGCAGGGACCGCTGCATGGAGGGAGCAGCCGCTGGGTCCCGCTGGCACAGAGCTCAGCTCCCACATCCAGAAGGCATTCTGCTCACACCATGGGCAGTGCTCAACCATGGAGTGCTGCTGCTGTGTTTTCCGTGCAGAAGAGTACAAACGAGCATGTGGGTATGGATTTATCTGCTCAGGGCATCTCCCTCTACCTCAGGGAAGGACGGGGAGAGAGGGCACCAAGGGAGGGGGGATCATGTATGGAAAGATCAGAGTAGCCACAAGGTCCTGAGGTGGCGGGGAGGCCTGCTTAAGAGAGCAGCTGCGGGTAGAAGGCTGCTGCAGCAGTGGCCTCAGCAGGGAGATGGAGCGGGGCCCACCGGCCTGGGGGACACGAGTGGCCCAGACCAGGAGACAACCCCACATCTCCCAGGACAGGACGGGGGCTGGCTGGGCCCACAGGCAGCAGGAGGATGTGGCTCTGACAGCATCTCAGTGCCAAGCAGCCTGCAGCCACCCCGGCCCCCACCCTGCCCTCCTCACTGTGCTCTTCTCCAGGCCTCCTCTCAGCTCTGGCTGCAGCGGTGGCCGTGCTGCAGCCTGCAGGAGCAGCTGGGCGCCACTGGGTTGCTTCCCCTGCAATTAGTTTCAAAAAGCCTGTGCTGGAGCCAGCAGTGGCTGCTCCTGTCACCTCTCCACCAGTGGAGTCCTGATACACTCCTACACTTGGCACTTTAACCCTTGAAAGCCATTCCTTCTAATAACAATAATACTGCAGTGAGCTGCATAAGAACATCCTGCCTCTATCGCATCCCCTTCGCCTCCACAAACCCCTCCCTGCCCCCGTGCAATCCAAAGCATTTCTGCCTTTGACTTAGCATATGCTGTGCTAGATAGTAGGGCATAGTCCATAGCGCTCAGTAAGACGTGCCCCTCTGTAAATAACCTTGGAGTGATGTGAAGTTTGATTCCAAAAAAAAAAAAAAAAAACCAACAAAAAAGAACACAGAAAAATGGAATAACAGACTCTAGGGACTTGGCCAGTACCCCTCCTGTAATGTTCATTGTATATTTTTGATGTACTATAACTGTTGGGGAAAAAAAAAGGAAAATATTTTGATAATTGAATCTCATCGCTTTATTGTGGTACTCAGTAAATAAAAGGAACAAGTATAAACAAGCCAGGGCTTTCTCATCATTTTTTTTTCCTAGATCCAGACTTGCCAAAGGGAGCAAAGTGTTGCTGGGCAGGACTGGGACAGCATCCTTTTGTCTCATGGTGGTTCTGAGGCATCACAACCGTGGGGTGGTGAGAGCTGCCCCTGTGTGTGCATGGGCCGAGCACAGCCCCACGCCTCCCGGGTCAGGACTGGGTCTGCCCTCAGCAAAAGAGCACTGCAGTGTGCAGTGCACTGTGAGATGTGGGGGCTGAGCCTGCCCTCAGGAACAGCACCTTGCCCTGCTCCACACTGTGCATTTCCTGTGGCTCACCTGCATGCAGCTTGGCCAAGGACTGAATATTCCTGCATGTCGGGGTGCAGAGGACACGGCCAGGTAAGGAGCAACCTGCTGATACAAAGCTGCAGCACCACAGGGCCAGCTGGGGTCGGACAAGGAAACTGGGGAGGCACAGCCCTCAAATGGGTTCTTCTCATGTTGGATCAGTACAAGAGAGCAGCTCTTGAGAGGGGGAAATCTTTTCCTATGGCCTGGCTGTACTCAGATGTGAAGCTGATCCCAGGCTGCTGGGCTCCTCGGGGGCAGCATGAAGCCCCCAGGTGTCAGCCTGTGCCCTGAGAGCAGAGGGGTGCACTTGGTGAATCCTGGCTTTCCTGCAGCGCCTTAAACACCGGCAGGGCCTGGGCAGTGAAAACAGCTCTTGTGTCAGTACAGGGAGATGGGTCACCTCTCTCCTCCTCAACGACCATCCCCAGCCCTGGGAAGCCCACTCCTCATGCAACCAGGCTTCCTGCAGGCTCCATAGCACCAAAGAGGCTCAGCAGGAGGTACGTGCAAGGGAAGGAGAGAGGTGAGGGACAGGAGGTGGCATCGAAGAGCAAGACGAGGCTCAGCCATCCACAGACCCGCTGCCCTTGTTCTTGCGGCTCAGGGGAAAAGCAGACTTGCTTTGTGGCTGCGTCATCTTACTGGCCAGGTAGATGAAGGGCTCAATCAACGTGCGCCGGTCAGCCACGGACACTTCCCACAGCTTCACCTTCTCACCCTTGGCCCAATGCTGGGCTGCGTCGTGGTCCACCCGGCGCTGCTCCTGCAGGTCACATTTATTGCCCAAAACCACAATAGTGACCTGTTCACAAACAGGGGAGAAAAAAGCCCAGCCGGTAACGAAAGCAGAGCTGAGCAGTGCTGCTTTGGCAACGCCTTCAGTGCCAGGCCCTGCCCAGTCACAATTCCCCCTTTCAGAACACCTTTCTTTGGGCAGTTTCACCCTTCTGCTTGGGTTTGTTTCAAACCAGCCGCAAACTGGAAGGGCCCACAGAGCAGCTGCGCATGCAGCACTGCAGAGGCCTGCAGGAAAAGTCCCACCTGGGCAGCCGAGATCCCAGTCAACACCAGTAAGACCGACAGCCCCTTATGGAGCAACCGAAGCAGCAGATCGCAGTTCCCCGCTTTCACGGCCGGCCCTTCCGCCCAGCAGCCGCGGAATCAGGGCAAAGAGCCGCCCAGCACAGCAGCCCCCCGCCAAAGGACGGCAGCAGCGCTCACCTCCTTCTTGTCCTTGCATTTGTCGATCTCCTTCTTGAGGAGCTCCACCCGTTTGAAGGACTCCTTGCTGTCGGTGCTGTACACCAGCACGTAGCCGTCGGTGCAGGAGAAGCAGTGCTTGGGCAGCTCCAGGCCGTCCCGCAGCCCCCGCGTGTCGTAGAAGCGGACCTGCTCGCGCACGCCGCGGTCCGTCTCGATGGAGCCCACGTAGATGTCCTCCTGCGTCTCGATCATCTCGGAGCCTGCGGGGCGGACAGCGGGGTGACGGGGTGTCCGGAACCGCGCAGCCCCTCGCCCGGCCCGGCACGCACCGACCACGTGGTTTCCGTACAGCAGCTGCTCCAGGATGGCGGTTTTGCCCACCGCGGCCTGCCCGCACACCACCACCTTGCAGCTCTTCCCCATGCCGCCTGAGCGCCGCTCCGGAGCCGCGCGCGGGGGATCCGCCCAACGAACCGCGCCGGGGCGGCACCGCGCGGGGCTCCGCCGGGGGACGCGGGTCGGGACGGCCGGGCGGCGCCGCGGATCCCAGCTGCGCGGCGGCGGAAGGGGGGCGGCGCCACAGCGCCCTCCGGCGGCGGAACGCGGCACTTCGCGGCATCCGACCCCGCCCCGCTCCCAGCAGCCCGCGCCGCCGTCCCGGAAGCCCCGCCCCTTCCGGCGCCCGCGCGCCCCGCCCCGCCCCGCCCCCACCCGGCCCGGCGGTAAGATGGCGGCGGCAGCCGAGTGCGATGTGATCATGGCGGCGCCCGAGGGACCCGGCGAGCCCGAGAGCGAGGAGGAGGCGCGCAGGTAGCGCGGGCGGCGGGGGCCGGGAGCGGGGCGGGAGGAGCGGGGGCTGCGGGGCCTTGGCGGAGCCTCTCCGGACCCGGCCCGTCCGCTCTCTCCCGTCCTCCGCACCCCGCCGCATTGGGGCGCGCTGCGGCCGGGCCGGCCCCGCGGGGCTGCGGCTCTCGGTGGGCTCCGTCAGCCCCGCCCCCAGCCGTACGTGCGCCGCGTCCGCCGCGCCGCGTTCGCTCCGTGCCCCCCTGCGAGGGAGCGGCGGCCGCTGCCGTCCACGGAGCGGAGCCGGGCGTCCCGGGGTCGGGTGACGCCTCGAGCGCCGCGCCCGGAGCGCCGTTTCCCGTCGCTGAGAAGCGGGGAGGCGGCTTCGGGCCCGGCTCGCGGCGCTCCGTCTGCGCTCCCTGCCCGCCGTGCTTTCCGACACGCGGGGCGGCAGCGCTGTGTGCGGGGAGAGTCGTTCTGAGGCCGTTAAACAGCATCCCCGGGTAACTCCTAAAGTGCTGATCGTCCTTGTTTTGGAGCGCTCTGCTTCAGCCGGCCAAGCGACGGCCGGGCTGCGGGGCTCCCCGGGCTGCGTGCTTTCCTCGGGGCCCGGTGCTGCCGTTGCCGCGCCGCGTTCTGATGCGGTGGGGAACGTCTGACAGCTGCGCTCTGCGGTGTGGGTCTGGACGTTCATCACCTCCCAGGAGCTGCTGCTGCGGGGAGGCGGCTGCTCCCTACCATTCTTTGGTCGATGAAATCATCAGGAGAAACAAAACTGAAAGTGTCCTCTGAGGAGTGCAATTTTCAGAGTAAGCCTGCGGTGCTTCGTGCTGCAATGTGCCGTCAGGAACGGGTGGCTCCAGGAGCGGTGCTGGGACAGAGAGCTTCCTGGTGATGTCATTGAGGAGCGGAACCAAGAGCTGCTGAGGAGGCACTCGTGTGTGCTGTGTGTGCAGCACTGCCAGACCGTGGAGCTGGGGAAGCCCGCTGGTGTGATCCGTTCCCTGGGTCTGATTAGAGATGACAACCAAAATGTTAAAAATACCCAAATGTAAGAGCTGTGCTGGCGGCTCTGGCGTTAATTACCTTCCTTCCTCCTTCCCGAGTTTTGCTGGGCGCAGGGAGCAGCCCTGGGGTGGGGGTTTGGTCCCTGCCCTGCTCTGAGGGGTTCAGCCACGAGGAGCAGAGCCAGCCTGGGTCACCAGGCACTTCCTGACGTGATGAGGCCGGTGCTGCAGCTCGTGGGCATTGCTGTGCGATCCTGGGCTTTTATGGTGCTTTCACAGTGTTCTGTTGCTGGGATTCAAGAAGTGTGTGAGCGGGAGGTGATGTTCTGCGTGCACCAGTGGAGCAGGGCAGGGTCCTGGGGATGGCATCTCTGCTCTGCATCGGCCCTCGGGGCTCGCAGTGGTTGCTTGAGTTCTATCTCTCAAGTGATCTAATGCAAATTAGGGTGATAGTCACCAAATTAGGGAGGATGGCTGGAGGCTTAATTAGGTGCTTAATGTTTGTAAAACATCAGGAACCACGCAAGGGCTCTGCAGGCACTTGGCATTAATTGCACGGGCGTTCTCTGGAATCTGATTTAACGTGGGCTTTATGATGTGACTGGGCCAGATTCTGTTAGAAAGCAGCAAAAATAAATGAAAAGCCTTACTGAACTGCTGCTGTAAGTCAGCCCCGAGCCTCCTGTGTTCTGTACCTCTCTTTAGGAACTGCAGCACAGATAGACAAGGGGGAGCCCCTAAGCAACGAAGCTAAATGTGCAGTTCTGTTCTCTGCGGCTTAATAAAAATAAAAGTGATAATAGTGGAGCTCAGGATTTCTGAACAGCTGTAAACATGCCAAACTGCTCACTCACCGGTGGCTCAAGGGACAGGAATAGAGCGTGGTCATAGGATAATTATTGGCTGTGGCAGCATGAATTGTGAGGGTCCTGACGGATGAGGGTTGATGTAAGTGCATTAATTTTATCTGCTGGGTGGGGGTGCGGGAGCTGCAGCTCCTGCTGGGTGGGGGCTGCGCTGCAGGCAGGGAGAGATCCATCCCCAAAATCACTTCCTTCTTCTCCTAAATGGTTTCTGGCCCCTGGGATCCGTCCCTGCCTTGGCCCAGCTGATCCAGGAGCGCGGTGCTGCTGGGCGTCGTTTCTTTGTCGTCCTCCTGGCAGCTCTGTGTTCCGTTGCTGTGCTCAGGACTGGATCCTTCTCTCCTTTCTTCAGCGCTGGAGGATGCGGCAGCCCCTTCTGGGAGGTATCTCAAATCATTTGGAAAATATTGTGAAATGATCTGGACGAAGCGCTGCTTTCACGGTGCTTTTGCCGCAGAATTCAGACGTGTTGATGCCTCTGCAGGAAATCGTCATTAACCTCAATAAAACAACGAGTGTGAAATTTTCCACGCAAAGTAAATTGTGCAGAAATCAAGGAGGAGGTTCCAGACCTGGCCTTAATTCGGGTCAAGATGAGTCCGACAGATGTTGCCTGGAGGCTGTCAGGTGTGGATGATCAGGAAGGCTCTTTCTGCTGCTGTTTTACATGAAATTAGCTGCGTCCCAGTCGGCTGCCCCACTAATTATGAACGTCCTGGGCCGCCTCTCCAGGGAGCGCTGCCAGGCCCTGGGGGTGTTGGCTGTAGGGCTCTGGCTGTGGGTAAGGGCTGTTCCAGGATTCCTGCTCTGCTGCTCACTGGGCACTGGAGTTTCCCAGGCTGTGGATCCAGCCTGTTTTGTGAACGTGTAATTATCATCTTAGGGTGATATGAGGAATGGCAGAAGCTCCTCATGTCAGCATTTAATCTCCCATGCATTTGCAGAGCATCTGGATACTCTGACCAGATAATTTCTGTGTACAGCTTGGAAAAGGTGTTTGGCGCTTGGAATTGAAGCTTGTTTTGAACTCCAGATCATCTTTTTTAGGGTGACTCACGTTGTCTTACCATGCAGGCGGGCTGTTTCCTGCATCCAGGCCTTCATGGAAGCCGATGCTCAGGGTGGTTCTGGGCCTCCTGTGGGCTCTCACAAACACTGGGACTCAGCCCTGCCATCAGCAATGGTGCTGTGGGTATGAAGTGGGTCAATGGTGAGCTTTGCTAGCAAGATGCATTACATAACTGCGTAATTAACGTGCAGGGCTCATCTGGCTGTTCACACCGGGTGCTGCAGGGGGCATTGGCTCCTTCCTGTGCTCCTGTTCTCTGCTGTGGCTGAGTTTGTCCTCAGGTATTGGCTGTGCTCTGGGCTGTGTGTAGAGGACAGCATGGATTTTTTTGTGCACCCTCTGGACTAAATGTCTGTGATTTTTCTGTTGACCGCTCTCCCAGAAGCCTTGGGTCCCAGGGCAGCCCCTTCAGTCGGTGAGGCTATCCAAGCGGATGTCTGTGTGTGCAGCCTTCAGATTTCCCTGGTTCTAAATCATTCTGCGTGTGAATGTCTTCATGCTCACTGCTGCATTGCAGCTGGGTGCAAACCCACTGCTCGCTCAGCGGGGGGTGCTGATGTGCAGAGCAATGTGTGCGTGGAGCCCTGTGCTGCTCTGCTTCCCGTTTGCCCCCGCTGCCACAGGCTCAGCATGAGGATATCTGCTGAGGGCAGCCGTGGAGTGTTTTATGTGACTCTGTGTTTTGTACCTGGTGACCTGGCATTGCACCTGTGCTCTTCTTTCATGCCAGATTCAGAGTAGCATAGATGTATCTTCCCTTCACTGGAGCTCCTCGGTTACAAAGTACAACCCAGACTGGAAGAGGCCTGCGCTCATTGCCGGGCTTCAGTCCTGTGCCCTGAAAGGAGGCAAGGCTGCAGTACGTCCAGTGGGAAACACAGCAGCTAATTTTAAGCTCTAGACATCTGCCCAATGTAAGCTGTATTGAGATCACCCAACTTATTTTATCCAAGCAGCTGAGTAACATCTGACAGCTGAGAATCTCGTCTGGAATCCAGCAGGGGAACTGCAGGATGGAGGCACCATGTGCTATTAAGGAAAAGTGCTAGAATTGCTCAGAGAAGCCAGCTGTGCCCTTTGGGCATCCCGAAGGAGATGGGGGCTGATAGGTTTGTGAGGCTCTGGACGCCTCGCAGGCAGAAGCTGGCCTGGTTAAAATTCCCATTCCCTTGGATTTGGTGGTTTCAGACTGCCCTGGTGACCATGAGTACTCATGTTTTCTGGCAGGGATTTCAGAGCATCCCTTTAATCCCGTGTATTTTTTTTGTCAGTGTGTTGCAATGGAGGCAGGAGATGAAGTAGGAGAGGTGTTCCTGAGCTGAGCAGCCGTGATGCTGCCGCCTGCTACGTGCTGTGTGCCTGAGCTGAGAGCACGGCTCTGCAGGCACCGACCTGCGTGCACGGAGCACTGGAGCCGGGCTGTGCCAGCGCTGCCAGACCTGCCAGCTGCTTCCTGCTCAGGTCCTGGTGGCTTGGGAAGGTGAGCTGTGCTGGAAGGCAGGTCTGCGTGCTCCTTGCTGCAAGCTGCAGCAGGAGGGGAAGCTGCAACTGGTGTGGGGGCTGCCAGTGCCGGGGAGGAGGCAGGGGCTGTTCGCAGCCGTGGGGTTCTGCTGTGGGATGGGACGGATGTGCCTCACGGCTCTGCTGCCTGCAGAGAGAGCAGGGCTGAGCTGTCAGCAGGGCACGGTGAGCAGGGAGCCTTGGCATGGCAGGAGGGTGCTGCTGCAGCGTAGGAGCTGTGGCTGCTGCCTGTATGTGGCAGGTCTCCCGGGAGGACGGGGGAAGGATTAGAGGCTGTGACGAGCGTTATGAAAGGGGAAAGAGGCGGCGAGCCGGTAGGGAGAGTTACAGCACACAGCCCTGCTCGTGAGCCCTGGCTGCACGCAATGAAAGATGAGCTTCTTCCCGAGGTCCTGGTGCGACTCTTCCCTGTCTTCTGTGTTGGCTGCACAGAGCCCTGAGGAGGCTCTGCCCACTGGGAACAAAGCACTCCATTCAGCCTGCATCATATTTTTAGCAAAGCATGATTCTTCTTCAGCTTCAAAAGTAGCAAGTGGGGAATGCAGCCTACATCAGTGTGAGATGCAGAATGATCTCATTCAGGCTGCAGCATCTGTTTGGATTGAAACAATTACCAGTGATATCAGGAGATCTGCATTTCTTCTTGTTGTAGCCAGAGACCGTGGTAAACAAGGACTGTTTGCTCAGTGTGCTTTCTGTGTCAATGGAGCACAACTGGGGAGAGATGCTTCTGTTCTGTGTCTGGGACCCGAGGCCACAAGCCTTGCGTTTCCAGCAGCTGGATTTGCTTTTGTGCTTTGGGGGAGATTCTGGGTTTCCTTTCGTGATCTTTTTTCCATCATTGGGCTTTTAACAGTGTGGGCAACAGAGCCTCTCTGCCCCATTGAGGCACTGTGAGCTGCTGGTGTATGGATCTGTGTTATGCTAAAGGCTTATAAGGGAAATAGACCAAGAAAAGAGTAGAAATGAGTAATTCTTGTTCACACCTTTGCTCTCACAGTTCTGTGCTTTGTGGAGGTTGCTTTGCCACGCATCTGCTTTCCTCCTTCCGTTCCCCAACTCTTCCCAGTAGTGTTGGCCAACGGAGCTCCAGCAGCCAGGCCTATTGCTGTGTCTGATGGCAGTGTGACGATGGCAGGTGATGCTGCTGAGGGACGCGGGTGGGCTGTGTGCTGCTGGAGCAGCTCAGGGTCAGTTCTCCATTCGTGCCATTCATCCCTTTTACAGGCCTTACAACAGAGAGCTTCTGAGTGAAGCTTAAACGAGATCTGTGATTTTCTTCTCCATTTGGTATTACAGAAATTAGAATGAAGTTCTGTTTAAGCTGCTTGCTGCCAAGGCAGTGCGGAATTGCTAGCTGTTCTCCTGCACTGCTTGTGAACATGTGATCTGTAACAGAAAGCGCCGCCCTGGGGCCCGTTTGTAGTCCTACAAAGTCCGGATCCCACCAGCAGCAGCACAAATCCACCCAGCACAGAACTGCTGCCAGCCCTCACGGCGGAGGAGCCCAGAGCTGTGCTGGCAGCAGCGCTGAGCGCATGGCAGCTCCTGGGAGAGCAGGGCTGCTGAGTAAAGCGCCTTCCTGCCGCAGCCGTGGAGCAGCGCCGGCTCCCACCTCAGCTGTTCGTGGAGCGCGGGCTGAGTGTTGGGTTCCACTTCCATGGCTTGACTTCTGCAGAGTTGCAGCAGGGCTGCGCCTGCTCCGCTGGCTGCAGCTGGCAGCGGAACTTCAAGTTTGTGCCGCGCTGCCATTTCCCGCTGTGGCCCCGCAGGCCCTGGGGCAGCAGCACCCTGTGTCTATTGTCCCGCCAGCTGGCACAACTGTGGCTCTTCTGTGCAAACAACCCTTTGCATGAGGCAGTTGTGTGGGAATGGCCAATGGCAGCCCGGAACGAGGTTACAAACATGTTAACTGGTTTCAACACATTTCCCTTTGTTCTCTCCCTGGTGGGCTGGCGGAGCTGCCCAGGCCCTGGTGTGGGTCTGTCCCTGGGAGGGGTGCAGGGTATTGGTAACCTTGTGCAGAGCAAAAGCTGCTCAGCCTTGGGATCCATTGATGCTCCAGCGTTGTTCTGAATTTGTGTGGGGATGCTGTGCATAAAAAGCATGCGACTCTTCACTCTGTCTCACATTGCTCTGCTCTGGTTTGGTTGTGTTTGCTGGAATTCCTGTCAGTAGCTTTGCTGCAGTAGGTGATGTGAAGGCGCCTTCGCTTCTGGGCCTTTCTCGCAAGAAAATGCGGAAGCCTGGCCTGTGTCTGCGCCTGCAAGTGGAGCTGTGCCCTGCCAGGCCAGGCTCTCGCACAGCTATTTCAGCCTCCTTGGCTTCTGCTCATTTGCTTCAGCAAAGGCTTCATTCGGAGCGGCTGGCAGTCAGTGAGGAGCAAGCTGCTCAGTGATGGTCAACTTCAGCTGCACTTCCCATGATGTATTTGTGTGCAGGTGCTTTGGGCAGTGGGCAGGCAGTATCTGCCGGCTCAGAAGTGTGATGCAGGTATTAATGCTGTGCCTTAGTGAGGGCAGTGCTGCTTTGGAGTTGGCTGAGGAGAAGCAAGTGAGTGATATCACTGATTTCATCAAAACTGAGTTAAACTTCACAGCACTGCAGTGTGAGTTCCGTCTTGGGCTGCTTATATAAAATGGTGGAGGTAGACAAGAGGAGGTGGGGAAGGGTTTAATTTCCATTACAGGAAACTTTGCTTTCAAGAGTTTAAAGGATGCAGCTTTAAACCATATGTTGTATGTTTTTAATGTCCTAAATTGTCTCTGCAAATGCTCGCTCTTGAGTGCGAGGACTATTTCTGGACCTGTTGCCAAGGCAGTGCCACGCAAAGCCTCAAGGAGAAGCACCCGTCTTCCTCCCTGATTCAGTTCTTTGAGCACAGAACTTGTTCTTGGCCCCGTTTCTCAGATATGTGGGACTGCTTCTGAAAGTCAGCGCTCAGTTTCTTGACTTCTTTGGCTGCTGAGGCTGTGCAGCACTCGTGGAGCGGGCTGTCGGGCGGCCGTGTGCAGCCGAGCTGCTCAGCTCCAGAGACGGCTGCGCTGAGACAGAGCGCTGCTCACGGTGAGTTCGCTCTGTGCTCCTTGCTGTGCAGCCAAGGTGGCCGTTTCCACGTTTTTGGCCCTCGTCAGGTGCTGAGCTGAGAGCCAGAGCAGCGCTGAGCTCCTTCCTGGAGCCGAGCAGTCAGCCCTGCAGGTGCCTGTAACACCGCCGGTCGCTCGGGGGTCACAAACCTGATTGTGGTCAGAATGTGTGCTGATGCTCCTCCTCGTTTCTCTTCCTTCAGAGAAGCAGAGTCCTTCAAGGAGCAAGGGAACGCTTACTACGCCAAGAAGGATTACAACGAAGCGTACAACTATTACACAAAAGCCATAGGTGAGAGCGGTGGCGGTGGTGATGAGCTGAGCGCGATGGCTAAAAATCAAAGCCAGTTACCGATTTTAAGATACACCAGCAGGGTTTCTAACAGCACGGGCTGGATGAAAACTTTGTTGGTTTAATTACTTTGCAGAATTTCCCTGGGTTGATTATGCAAGTCAGTGCTAACGTGGGTGATTTGCTGCAGTCTTTTATTTCTCTTCTATCCAAGATATTTTTAGCAAGAAACCAATCCAGTTTTCAATCTAGTGCAGGGTCAGCAGTGCTGTCAGGCTCAGTGCTGCAGACCTCTGTTCTGTGTGACTTAAAGCCTGTGTGTAGTGTGAGAAGCAATGGTTTCGTGGCTTCTATTCTGAACCATCGTGCATCTTTGTAAGCCGTTTGGTGCCGTTATAAATTGGAAGGAATGTGGTTCTTTGAAACCCACAATGTCTTTCGAGTACGTTCTACAAGTTGTCCAGCTGCTTACATTACACTGACAGCAAGTGCTCTCCCATTTCCTCCAGACACCTGTCCTAACAATGCCAGTTATTATGGTAACAGAGCTGCCACCCTCATGATGCTGGGGAGATTCCGAGAAGCACTGGGAGATGCTCAGCAGTCTGTGAGATTGGACGACAGCTTCGTAAGGGTATGTGGAGGTCACCTTATTTCTTGTATGTCTGAATACTCGCCTGCTCCTGCAGCTCCCTTCTAATGGTCTCCCCAGGGCCACCTGCGGGAAGGGAAGTGCCACCTCTCCCTGGGGAACGCCATGGCTGCCAGCCGCTGCTTCCAGCGCGTGTTAGAACTGGATCACAAGAACAGTCAGGCACAGCAAGAGGTGAGAAAGGGAGGCGCTGCCGGAAGGAAGGGATTGAGCTGGTAGTGATGCCTGCGTGCCTTGATACGACGAGAAGCAATGAGGTGGTGCTGAGATCTCCTTCTCTGCTTCTCAGTGGACCAGTTAGTGGCACAGTTATTTGTGCGTGGTTGTCGTGGCAGGAAAGCATGGAGGCTAAGCTGGTCTTTCACCAGCACTTCAGGGGAGAGTGATGGTAATCCTGGGCTACCAGTGAGGTCACTTGACTTCAAACTGATTTTAATGCTGGCAGAAATATTGACCTAACCTGTTCTGTGGTCTGCGACAATTTTTGCTTACGACTGTAAGAAACACTTACTGTGTGCTCCTGTCTTTAGCTGAAGAATGCCAGTACAGTGCTGGAGTATGAAAAAATAGCAGAAGTGGATTTTGAGAAGCGAGATTTCAGGAAGGTAAGATGAACTTGATGGCTTCCTGCAGCATCGTGAGCAGACTGTCTTACCTGGCCAGGTCAGTTAGATGCACATCTCATCCCCCTGCCTCCTCCTAGCTGGGCTCCCCCTGTCAGTGTCACAGTGAGTCAGTGAAGGAGTAATGCAGATCCACACTGGGCATTCTCTGGTGCAGTCTCCTCACGTTTCTTGCTGTGGACAGCAATGGGTGCAGCCATTACTGACCCCATACAACAAGAAGCGACAGCATGAAATCTGAAAGGCACTTAACACTTCTCATGAGACTGTGTCATAGATGCCTATAAGGGCTGTAGAAAGGAGGCTGTTTGATGTGTTAGGCTCTTAAGCTAAGCAGTGTTTTGCACCACCTTGTTACGAGGAGCAGATGGGGTGTGGGGTCGGTCTGGATTGCATGTGGTGGAATCGCCCTGCCTGTGCTGCCTGTTCTGGGCTTTTGCATCTGTCCCCTCACTTCGCTGGGAAGACCTGCATGAAATGTGATCTTTGTTTCTGGAGAGCTGTTCTTGCTCCTTTCTCACCCTTTGCCTTTGGCTTCTCAGTCTGAAGCACAGTGCTTCCCACAGCAGCCCATCGTGATGTCACAGGCCGGGAAAGCAGATGAAACTTGGTGGAACAATCGCCCTGTTCTCCTGCAGATGTCCCTGCCATGGAGGCAGAGATGGAAAAAGACCCATTAGATCACCCTGCCCACTGCAGTCAGGCAGTCTAAGATCAGTCCCTGCTCTGTACTTTTTTTGTGTTCTGTCCAGTCCAAACTGTCCCAGTCTGTTGCATTTCTGTCCCTCCCACACTCCTTTGTAACACAGGAAACAGGGGCAGAATTGTCTTCCTTGGCCTTTTCTTTGGGGCCTGCAATTTCAGTGGAGTTAAAGGGTTTGAACTACAGGTGTTCCTTGAGTTTTCTGCCCGGTGCTCTGTCATGGTAACAAAGCAGGGCCCACCTACCCCATGAAGCCCTTCTTAGAACAAAGCAAAGCAAAGCAAAACAACACCACCAAAAACTGCTCTGAATGAAACGTGGATCCAGCAGAAAAGAGGAACCTGCACACTTCCCTTCCTGCTCAAAGGCAAACAGGGAATCTCACGTGTGGTAATGATGCAGTTTTTCAAACTAAACCTTTGGATGTTTGCTTTTCTCACATCAGGTTGTGTTTTGCATGGATCGTGCTCTGGAGTTTGCTCCTGCTTGTCACAGATTCAAAATCCTCAAGGCTGAATGTTTAGCACTGCTGGGTCGTTACCCAGAAGCACAGTCTGTAGCAAGGTAGGCATCTTTAAGGTCTTGAAGTCGTGAACCAGCTTGTGGTGTGTGCTGCATGCTGTCTGTTCCCAGAGCCTAAAACAATGGGAGATGTAAAAAATCCTCAGTGCAAATGATGACAAAGAAGCTGACGTGAATTCATCCTTCTTCCAATTCATCACACCGGGAAACTCTTCTTAAGCTTATTTAATATCCAGCAGTCTTGCTTGAGCATCTTCATGCACTGTTTTATATCCCTACCACAGACCTGATGAATCACCTCAGTGTCTCAGCAGGAGAAGAGTGCTTCTGCTGATGACAGGCAGAGTGCTGGAGGTGACTTAGGCTCTGTGTCTGTCGCAGTGACATCTTACGGATGGACTCGACGAACGCAGATGCTCTGTACGTCCGCGGCCTCTGCCTTTATTATGAGGACTGCATTGAGAAGGCAGTGCAGTTCTTCGTCCAGGCACTCAGAATGGCTCCTGACCACGAGAAAGCGTGTTTAGCCTGCCGTGTAAGTTGTGGGCACTGGGGCTGGGACCACGAAACTGCCAGGGCTTGCTGCTTTAAGCAGGCTCTTCTGCTGGAGCAGTCCTTTCTCTGCCCCGTGAGTCTGTGACTGCTGTGTCCTGTAACGGTGTCAGGAAGCAGATTGCAATGGCTGTAGCTGGGGAGTCCTGGCCAGGGAGGCGTTGGTTCCTCTGAACGCTCAGCTGCTGTCCTTACGCACGGTGCGTTGTCTTTCAGAATGCCAAAGCACTTAAAGCGAAGAAGGAAGATGGGAATAAAGCATTTAAAGAAGGAAACTACAAACTAGCTTATGAACTGTACACAGAAGCACTAGGAATAGATCCTAATAACATAAAAACAAATGCCAAACTCTACTGCAACCGGGGGACGGTTAATTCCAAGGTAAGAAGTGGTCATCGTGCAGCTGACCTTTAATGTAGGTCTTGTTCCTCAGCACGTAGTTGACAAGCAGCAGGTTGCTTGTTCTAGAAGCATGCACTTCTCCTGGGGCAGCTGCAGCCATCCAGAGCTGTCAGCAAGTTTTCCCGTTCTTGGGCTTGCACAATAATTGGGTCTGCTCCAAGCAGCTGAAGAAATCGACTCCTAAAGAAACAAAACTCAAATGCTTGGGCTGCCTGGAGTGGGAGGGGGAGAAGGAATGCAGTGTGGCCTTATCTTAATCAGTGTGAAGGCATCCCTGTTTGTTTCCTTCCTTGTAACGAGGAGATCGTGCTTTCATTTGCTTGGAATCCTAACGCTGTTTAGCAGTTCTGCTTTTCTCTGATTGGGATTCACTTCTGTCTGACCTTGTAGCTTAGGAAACTCGAAGAAGCAATAGATGACTGCACGAACGCAGTAAAGCTGGACGAGACGTATATTAAGGCGTACTTGAGGAGAGCACAGTGGTAAGTAGGTGTTTGCCTTGGACTGCTGGGCAGGTTTGGAGATGGGAACCTCCTCCCCACAGCAACAGGTGACAGGGCAACAAATCTGAAGCTTACATGAATAAAAGGCGATGCCTTCAGAGGTCCATCCAAACCTCTTCTGTGCGGTGCTGGGGAGTTGGGAAAGCACGTGGTCTGTCCTGCCTGCACGTGTCTGGGCTGCCTGTCTGTTGTGTTTAGGCAGGGTTTGTTATGGGGGCTGCTGAATCACAGCAAGTTGTCAGTGTGTGAGTGGGGCTGAAAGGCCAGCAGGCAGGAGCGTCCTCTCTGAGGCGCCCAAGTTGTCACTTCTGACCAGGGCTGTCAGCGTGCAGCTCTGCACCAGCTTCCTCAAAATGTTGTGGCTGCCATTAATTCCTGCTGTTGGATCAATAATTATAAGGCCTTTAAAGTAGAATGTGTGTCAGCAAGCGAGATGGCAGCCTCAGTTTGGAGCCCAGAGTTCCTGTGCCAGGTTTCCCATGGCCTCCAGCAGCTGTTACCCTTTGCAGGTTCTTTCTGCAGCCCAATGCGTCTGTTTCCCTTAATTCCTATCTACCCAGAAAACTTGTGACTGAGCCCCTTCTTTGATGCTTTCTGTGAAGTACAGCTTGGCAATCATTGTTCCCACAGTTACATGGACACAGAGCAATATGAAGATGCTGTAAGAGACTATGAAAAAGTTTATCAGACAGAAAAAACAAAAGGTAAACGTGTCTGTGTTCTGTGCATGTTTCCTCTGAGTAAGGCAGATGGTTTGTTGCTGAATGTGGTCCTCATCCTTCGTAGTAGCCTGAAATGAAATGGAGCAGCTCTAGTTGTTGTGGTTCACTGTCTGACAAATACTGGTTCAGTAGCATTGAGGTTTCACCTACGTTTGGAACAGCCTTCGGTGCAGGGTTCAGCTTCAGTTTGCTGCCTGAGCAGAAATGCAAGTGGTTGGTGCTTGTGGCACCCAATTACTGCAGCTCAGGCCACCCCAGGTCTTGGTCTGTCGGGCTCTGCGGAAGCAGGGCGCTGTGTGATGCACTAAGGCTGCTTTCCTTGGGCTTTGCAGAACACAAACAGCTTCTAAAGAATGCACAGATGGAACTGAAAAAAAGCAAACGGAAAGACTACTACAAAATCCTTGGGGTCGACAAGAACGCCTCTGAAGATGAGATCAAGAAGGCCTACAGGAAAAGAGCACTGATGCATCATCCAGGTATCCAGGTGTTTTCAGAGCATGCCTTGCTGCTCCGATTCTCCTGCACAGCCACCCGCAACCATCACTGGGAGCTGGGAATAAAGGGGAGGAGGAATGCATGGGCAGATGTGACCCCAGGATGTCTAAAATGCCTCCTGTGGTAGCTGGGGCTGCCTGCAGCTTCCCTTTCACAATAGAAACATAAAGTTTCCTTCCTGCTTGGTTTCATGTTGTTAGACCGCCACAGTGGGGCGAGTGCAGAAGTGCAGAAGGAAGAGGAGAAGAAGTTCAAGGAGGTTGGTGAAGCCTTTACCATCTTGTCAGACCCCAAGAAGAAGGCTCGCTATGACAGTGGACAGGATCTAGAAGAAGATGGGTTGAACATGGGAGGTAGGTAGTTTTTGTGGTATCCTCCCTTTTGTAACAACCCCATAAATTGGCTTTGTTTGGTCCGTGGGAGTATTTGAATGGCAGTTGCTGTTGAGAGCTGCAGGTAATCAGGGTTGTGTGGTGGACATTGTGCTTGACTGAGCTGTTGGACAGTGGGTGCCATCTGCAGAAGCTTCTGTCTTTCACAGGGTGTACAAATCCATCACACAAATTCTGTGGGTCCCAAAATGTGGCTGATCCAAAATCCTTAGCTTGCTTCTGTGAGTTAAGGCCTGAGAGATGTTGCTTTTACCTGTTCTGTGCCACTGATGTGTCCCGTGCTGTGGTGCAGCACAGTGCCACGGTGTGCTGTGCTGCTCCCTTACAGTGGGCAAAGCAGGCTGCTTGTCCATGGCTTTCTGTGAAACACAGTGTGGGCTCTCAGTTCAGAGCCAGTTTCTAAACTGAAAACTGCAACTGTCTGTTCCTCTTCATCTTACAGCTTCCTTTTCTTCCCTACAGACTTCGATGCAAATAATATATTTAAGGCCTTCTTTGGAGGGCCGGGAGGCTTCAGTTTTGAAGGTAGGTGGAGGTGCCCTGCTGCTGGCGTTGGAGCTGGTAAGTGCTCAGATTGCTTCTCCCGGCAGCAGAGGCTCCCTGGCTTCGCTGTGCCGACGGAGAAGAGCGCGCTGCTGAGCTCCCTTCAGTGCTCAGCTGTGGTCGGGCTTCGTGCAGCGCTGCACAGCCCTCAGCATTTTCCCAGCGTCATTAGGCCGTGTGAGGAGCTGTGCGTTGTTAGGTTTTGTTGTGTGTTTGGGGAAGTCCTGCATGGTTCTTGCACCGTTGGCTTTCGTCCTTGTCAGCTCGCCTGCAGAGCCTCCCTGTTGTCAGCGGTCCGCTGTTACCTCCTGGGATTCAGCTGCTGGAGATGCGTGGGACGGATCTCCCCTGCCTGCCCCGATGGCTTTGTTCAGTTACTGGCCATTGCAGCCTGCTGTTCGACCCCCCTCTCTTTGAACTAACATCTTTCGTTTTCTTTTTCAGCTTCTGGGCCTGGGAATTTCTTTTTCCAGTTTGGCTAAAACACACACACCTGCTCTGCTGCTTTTAGCCTTCAATACGGACATACTTAGACTCCTTCCTCCATCATGTCTCATTGTACTTAGAGCAGTTTCATTTCTCTCGGTTGGAGACCTCAGTTTGTGTGCGTTTGTGTGTGAAGAGGAAACCAGCTCGGGGAAGGGAAGGCTTGTGGATTTTGTTTTACTGTTAACTTTATTAAAAAAGAAAATAATAAAGCTTTGAATCTGTTGGTCCCTCCATGCTGGCCCGTGCTTTCAGGCTGCTCCTCAGCACAGAGGATTTCCCGGAGTCCTCGTGGAATTGTGCCGTGTTCTGTTCTGGCTGCACAGCATGGCAGCATCTCAGCTCTGTAGGAGCTGCTCCGCTCTCTCACCTCTCTGAAAATGTTGCCAGCGTTCCCTCAGACCTCACGCGATCGCATCTCGCCGGCCAGCTCTCCTGGTCTCCTTTCTGTGCCCTGGTTCTCCCCGAACGGTCGCTTGGACTCGGTCAGTAACGCGTGAGCTGAGCGGTTGTGCGTCAGAGAGAAACGGATTTAAAAGAGCAGCTGCTGTGGGAGCGCCTGTGGTGCAGCTGAGGCTGAGGGCTTCGCGTCCTGCGCCAGGATTTTCCTCTTGAAGACGATGTGGGATTTGCTCTGGGCTTGAATTTTTTCACCGTGTGTTTTTTCCTTTCAATTAATCCACTTGAACTCTTCATAGCCGCGCTGTGAACTCGGTTCTGTTGGGTTTGAAGTCGTCACGTTAGACTTTGTGTTGCTGGTCCGTAGTGTGGATGAACTCCTCTTAGCCTTGAAGAAACGCGAAGTGATGTTCAGGCTGTTGCTGAAGTGGTTCCTGTGCAGCAGCGCGATCTCATCGCCGTCACAAGGACTCTCCCTTATGACAAAGCAGTGGAGTGGCTCTCAAATAGTAACGTCAGTGGTCCAAAGGAACACGAAAATGCAAAGTCCCCCCCTGGGCTGGCAGCCGGCCCCGTGCTTCTCTTGCACGGCGTGTGCAGGGCCCTCAGCTGGGTGCTGCAGCGCAGAGCTGACAGCCGGGAGCTGGACGTGGTTTTGTTGGCGTGGCGCTGCTCTGTCGCTCAGCACAGCCGCCGTGGGCTCTGCTGGGGAAGGGCTCGGCTTCCACAGCTCTTCCCGCTTCCCTGGAAAGCAGAGGATCCCTGCCACAGGCGCTCTGTTGAGCCCTCGGCTGCTGGGCGCCTCGGGCTGCAGGCGGCGCTGTGCTTTGCAGGGGCTCAGCAGGGCTGCGTGCGCTGAGAGCTGAGGCTGAGCAGCGCAGAGCTGAGGTTGGTGTGGGTGGGAAAGCAAAGTTCCTGCCTGCGAGCTCTTTTCCTGAGGAGGAACCTGACGCTGTTGTATCATCTCTGCCTCGGCTTCTGCTGCAGGAGCAAAAATTACAATCAATGAATTGCACAGAATGATTCCTTCAGATGCTGACATCTTTGTCTTCCTGCGTGTGCCCTGGGCTGCTGGCCTGGGCTTCAGCAGTTGGTGCTGCTGAGTGCGTTGGGTTTGGTCGGAACTTCTGACAATCTGCTCTCACAGAGGGAAGATTTAAGGGCTTCAATTTGAGTGCTGCAAAATAAAGGCAGCGTTTTACAATCGCTCTGGAGGCAGCTTTTGAAGTGAGCCAACCTGAAGTAATATTCCTAAAAACAGACGTTTGCTGAGCGTCCTTCGTGTCGGTGCAGGGTGACGGATTGACCCGGGTTGCACTGAGAGCAAAATGAGATCCTGCAGTTTTCAGATGAACAGCAGGGACCCCAAACGCTGCCTGTGCTCCCTGAGACCTCCCAGCTCCCGCAGCTCTGCGCAGTCACAGCTTGCAGGACTGATTTCAGTGCGGCGTTGCGGTTTTGCGGTGCGTTGTCCTGTGTGTCAGCAATTGCTGCACAGCTCGGCCCTCTGTCAGCGCGCTGCGTTCAGCGCTGCGCTGGTTGCGATGGCTGTTGGTGTTTCTGCCTCCCTGCTGTGCCCTCCTCTCCCAGCTGGGTTTGAGGCCGTTCCTCAGAGGGCAGCAATGGAACGGCTTCGTCTCTGAGCGAGGGAATGTGCGCAGATGTTTATGGAACTGTAGGTGAATGCATGATTTAAAATAGTTAAATATTACTGTGGTGAGTGCCAACGCGTCTCTGAGGAGTGCTGCTGTGTGGATGGAGCTGAAGAAGGGCTCTGCCCCTCCTGCAGCCCCCTGGTTCGCCGTCGCCCCGTGTCGCAGTGCTGCAGGTGTGGGAGCCGCGGGGCGACCTCCAGATCTCTGCGTTGGTGTTTGGGAGATGCTTGCATGTGTGCACAGCTGACCTCCAGGCCCTCGGGTCTGCTGTGTTTATTTATTTCTTTTCCCTGTGTGATTTGCTTTCTGTATCTGACGCAGTTTCAGCTCCAGCTTCTGCACGGAGCGCTGCGCGTCCCTTCGGGGTGCTGACCCTGGACCTGAAGTTGGCTTTGGAAACCGTCCCGCTGCTTCTGGCTGCCCCTTTTGACAGGCTTTTCCAATTGTCTGCTATCCATGCTACCTAGGGAAGCACATGGCTTTGTTTGTGTACTTGGAAGTGTTGCTGTAAAGCTGGATCTCGTGTGCTGATGGCTTCTGACTGTTCTGTAAATACTTGCGTTAGTGCAGACTGGGTGAGTGGAGACAGTTTGGGGACAGCAGTGTGAAATAGCTGTGCAATATTGTGAGTCCCCCGGAGCTTTCTGTATCCGGGATGCAGAGCAGCAGCGGCCGGCTCTGCTCATTCCCAGCAGGAGAGCCCTGGCCTCGCGATGGGGGCTGTGCTCTGCGGCGCTCTGAAAGCTCTGGAATGGCCAAAAGTCTGTGCAGGGCTTTGCCGGTCCTTCCAGTTCACTTCCTCGGTTTAGTAGCTGAGATGTTCACTTGTCTTCAAGTGGATGGGCTTTAAACGCGTGCCTTGTACCCTCCCCTCCCCGTAGGGAAAAGGACGGCTGTGCGCGGCCCCCGTTGATTTCCTCCCGTAGTGCTGAGGTCTGTGTGTTCCGTGGCAGCAGTGCTGCGCCCAGCCGTGCGAGGGGCGTCCCCGCTCCCGGAGCTGAGGCCCGGGGTTTTCCCCAGGGAAGCCGCTTCCCGGGAGCGGTGCCGTGTCGGCTCAGACGCGATGCGCTCCGCTGCGGCCGGGGAGGGGATGGGGATGTGGGATCGCCGGAGCAGCGCTGGGCAGTTTGTGCCTGTGCTGGGCTGAGCTGATGGAGGAGCTCTGCGGGAGCTGTGAGGGCGCTGAGAGGCGCGGAGTGCGAAGCTGCGTTAGGGAGAGCGGCAGCGCTGGGCTGTGGGGGCCGTGCGCGCTGCCTCTGCCCGGGTTTGTGATCCAGCTGCAGCTCTGGCACAGCCAACCTTTCTGCGTTACCCTGCCTCGCTCCCCGCTTTCACGTACAAATTCCTGCTTCAAAGGAGAAAACCAGGGGAGGCGGCGCTGGGGGTGCAGCAGCCCGAGCGGCTTCACGGCATGCAGACGTGCTTTGTTGTGAAGCGGTTCGGAGCAGTCGAGACAGAAGCAGAGACTGATGTGAAGCCGACTTGGAGAGGGCCGCCCTATTTATCCAAATCCCAATTCTGAATGTTTACCTCGGTGTAAAACCTTTCCTGGGGGAGGAAAGGAGTCCTGCATGGAGCACCCGAACCCCGAGCGCTTTGCCAAACGCCTCTCCAGGGCGGCTTCACAGCGGGGCCAGCGCTGTCCCCCTCTGGACCTTTACCTTTCTAGGATGTGAACGGTAACAATGTGAATATTTGTTGTTTACTTCATTAGGCATAATTCATAATGCTGTGTTTATATGGAGAATATCACAGACTGAAGCAAAAACCGTATGCAATTGGTTTACTTTATTATAAACTGTATATGATGTACAAACTAATAAAAAGGTCGATGAGGACGGCGTTGCTGTTGTTCTTAGCGCGGCTCTGCAGGCGGGGGGAGCAGAGCAGCTCTGTGTGCTGCCAGGAGCTGCTGGCTGCGTGCTGTGAGGTGGGATGGGAGACGGGGGCTCGCAGCGCTCCTGGTGCAGCTGCCTGCGCTCAGCCGTGGGAAGGGAGGAGCGGATGGAACTCGGGGTGCAGACGTGGATTCTTTGGGCGGCGTTGGAATGGGAATCCATTGCCATCCTCAAAGCCGCTCCCAAAGCAGGCAGTGCTTTCTCTCACTGCTGAACTCGCACAGCACTGCCCGCGCTCTCCCATAGCGCTCCTTGCTGCTGCTCTGAGGAGGAGGAATGCTGCTCCCAGCGCTGAGCCCTTTACAGACACGAACCCGGCACACAGGTGGGGAACACAGCGAGAGTTTACATTTATTAACGGTGGGTTAAGCACAATGCAGCGCAGAGCCGTAGCAGGAGTTGGGGCTGCTGTCCTGACCTGGGTCTGTTAGTTGAGATTTGTGTTATGAAGTAGTGAGAGCGGGTCTGCGGGCTGGCAAACGATCTAAGAGCAGAAACATCAGCTTTAATAAAACAGGCTTAATAACAGCAGCGCTCGATCATTAACTTCTCTCCAGCCCACGATCGGGGTTGGAGCAGACTTGAGTTACGCAGTTACAATACCTCCCTTTACTTCCTAAATTACAGTGTTACTTCCAGCCTACGTTCAGTGCATTAGCTAAAGCTAGTAAAATCTTGCTTGAAGTACAGTTCTGTATTTCAGACACGATTTAATGTCTACAAAATAAGATGGAAAAGACGTTAGTTCATCTCTTCCATTCCCCGCCAAGGCAGGATTGCTCCCTACAGGACGGAGGTGCTGGCAGAATTGAATGCAGCCCATCCTGAGCAACTGGAGCCGTTACAGGAACCGAATGCAGCTCCTCAAAGCTGTTTCCTTTGCTGTGATTTTCTCCCCATGTCTGCAGTGTTTGGCTCTCAGACGTGGAGGCGCTGCCCATCAGCACAGCCCTTCTCTGCGCTGAAAGCTCTGCGCGCCAGCAGCGCAATGGGGGAAGGACACGCGTGGCTCCGGCGGCTGCCGCACGACCCCTGAAGGGCAGAGCGGCCGGGAGCTGCTGCACTGGACAGAAGGGGTCTGGTTTTCACATGAATGCAGCACTCCTGCTGTTTGTCCGTCTGTCCGTTATGCAGCTCACTGGGCCTCAGAGCAGTTCTGTACAGGCTCTGTTCTGCCACCGCTCAGCTGTGGAGCGCTGACGTGTACAGATGTAACGATTGTGGCTCATAGGGAAGTTATAAAAGACCACAGGAGATCCTCCTCTGAGGAAGAAAACAAGCA